GAGGGTTGAGGCTTAGTGAGAAAGGGGGTTACAGGTTTTTTTGTGAAGGGGGAGGGTGCAGTCAATGTTGAGATCTCTCCTCTCACAATGAGAGAGGAAAGGGAGAGAAAGCTGCAAACCACAGTCATTGGTCACATTGTCTGACAGCCGTGATTGCTCACAGCGATCACGTGGTACACAATTTTATCGGCTCCGTACCTTGCGTTGTAAATTGCTCAAGCATGAAACAAAAGATTGCCGTACAAGTATGGGGAACTACACTCGAGCAAGCAATCTGTCTGTTTATGCGCAACCGGCGGACGGCAAGCAGTTAACTATGTCGTATTGCCTTACTAATAAAGTTGCATTTCATATACAAAAAAGGCTCTGTGGGCGCATTTGCCAAGAAATGGGACCTTTGGTGTAACTCACTGTTTACTGTGAACCCATCATATGATTCGTTACCCCGTAACCTATCAGATTGCTCTGAACTGTCTTTGTTTGCCAGCACTGAGTGTGTTTTTAGCATTCTGAGTGTGTTCTGTCATTTGTTGTACTTGTGCTTACCATCTTCATATCTTCTGAGCTGTCCAATGTACTCGTATGTACTTTTATGTTTTAGTTTCCTGAAGAGCGGTTCTGAAGTCTTGAGTACAGCCACCTACCAGGCTAGTATTGAAGGATTTGTACAGCATTTAGGTGTGACTGTAGATGGAGCAGCCGAGCTTTTCAACGTGGCAGTATCCCTTGCTAGAGAAGCTGCAGAAGAATTCAACACACAGTCCTCAGGTATTATTGAGCAAACACCTTTCCAGAGCCAGCCAGTGGTTTTAACCACTTGCTGACCGGGCTTTTATACCCCCTTCCTGGCCAGGCTATTTTTCAGTATTCAGCGCTGAGGTACTTTGACTATTTGACTGAGGTACTATTTAATCACCACTGGGGTTTTTATTTTTACTATATAATGAAAAAAGTACCGAAAATTTGAAAAAAAAACCTGTTCTCCCTACGTTATGTTATAAAACATTTATTATTACCCAATTTTTTGGTCAAATATAAAAGACGGGGTCACGTCAGGTAAATAGACACCAAACATGCCAAGCTTTAAAATTGCGCGCACCCGCTAAATCACAAACTACCATACCCAAAATTGACCAAAGACGCCGCTTTAAAAGCTTTTACCGCTCATCAGTTTAGTGTTATCAGTGATTGATGACCCTAAAATGATTCTCTCACTCGGACGTTCACGGCGATATGTAACATGTGCGGCGCAATGGATATAATCTTCGTTTTTGCATGTAGGCGGACTTGACACATGTTTGCATGGGGGTGGGGGACTTTAATTTAAAAAAAAAATAAAAATGATATTGCTTTGATATGTGACTTTTAATTTTTTGAAACCTTTTTTTTTCCACTTAACTTTATTGCTATCACATAGGGAGCAAACAAGCCAATTTGCAGTGACAGGTCCTCTTTATGGAGACATCAGGGGTCTCTAAGACCCCGGTCACCTAGGGACCCCAGAGAAGCTGATGAAGGAGAGACCTGCTCACCAGCTTCTCTCTGGTTTCTGTACCGGAGAGTGACAGAGGAATGCAGAAGTGATGTAATACACATCACTGCCTGCATTCCAACGAGGAGGAGATCAAACGGAGATCGTGTACTGAGCTCCGTTTGATCTCTGGTCACAGAGCTGCTGTGCTGGTCCTGGGCTCACACCGGGAACAGCGGAGCTCGGGATTGCCAGCAGCGGCTGCGATGGAGGGGGGCACACACCCGGATGCATATTACAAGTGATCGGGCGTCTCTACAGACGCCTGAACGCTTGTATGTAAACAGCCATCGCTGGCTGTTTACATTCAAAGCCGATTTCCCGTTAATGCGCGCCGCCTAGCGGCGGACGGGATGTTTAAAAACGCCCACCCGCATTCAAGAAGCCGCTGTTCGGCCGTTTAATTACAACTGCCGGACAGCAGGTGGTTAATCATGTACTTCAGCATCTGACCAAAACATGACGGTTTGTAGGATTGTCCTTTACATGCAGATCTGAAAAATTCTGCATGGTGATACATGAGAAATGGTACTTTTAAGTTAAGGACTTGCCCAGGACCAAATTGTATTCACCACTATAAAAAGTCTCTTGTTTTAGGATGAAAGTGCATATTGACTTGAAAGTACTCTACATAGTATTAATACAGTAAACTCCCCGTTATCCGGCATCCACCGGGATTGGTAGATTCCAGATAAATGTAGTTTCTGGTTGAATGAAAGTTAGTATTAAAAATAGATCTAACTAATGCCATAACCCCATACCATACTATAAACTCTGTATTGACTTCATATTAATATTGAAATGCAGTAATCAAAAGCAAATTAAGACAAATAGACACACAATCATTTCCAGGATAATGCATGCCGCAGATCAGCTAAACAGTAAGTACACAGGGGATTTTTTTTCTGGTTAGATGAGAGTTCTGGTTAGTTGAATACAAGCTAACTGAGAGTTTACTGTAATAGTTTATGGATGTCTTTTTTTTTTTTATATATATATATATGGCAGGTTCCTTAGACTGAATTATTTTTGTTATGTCTTTTCAGAAAAAAGAAATATTTTAATTGCTGGATCTATAGGCCCTTATGGAGCATTTCTTCATGATGGCTCTGAGTATACGGGAACTTATGTCAGAGACATGAGTATTGAGGTATGTTTTAGAATCTGTTCCTGAAGTTATTGATGTTACACTGCCTGGCCATAAAAAGTCACCACCTGGATTTAGCTAAGCAACTAGGTCAGAGCCCACCATTGGATAATTGGCCTAGGTTCAGCAACGTTATGAAAAATGAGGTCAGCTGCCTCCCTGAATATACTGAATGACCAGGTTTTTCCAACAATGGACTTTTTCTTCTCTGATGGCCCGGGCCTGTTCCAAGATGACAGTTCCAGGATTCATCGGGCTCAAATTGTGGTTCAGGGAACACGAGACATCATTTTCACACATGGATTGGCTACCAGAGTCCAGACCCTAACCCCATTGAGAATCTTTAGGATGTTCTGGAGAAGACTTCAACTCTCCCATCATCATTACAAGATTTCGGTGAAAAATGTAAGGAACTCTGGGCGGAAATCAATGTTGAGACAATGCATAAGCTTATTAAAGCAATGCCGCGGCGAATGCGTGCAATAATCATAGGCGGTCCAACAAAATATTAGGATGTGTGACTTTTTTTTTGGGTCTGGCAGTGTATTAATCTATTAGGGCATCAGTGAAGGTAAAAGTCCCATGAGAAACGAAATAGTTTTGTCTCTGGTTGCAGGAGTTAAAGAACTGGCATCGGGTGCAAATGCAGTGCCTGGCATCTGCCGGAGTTGATCTGTTTGCTATGGAGACTATTCCTAGTCAAAAGGAGGCAGAAGCCTTGGTACAGGTTCTCAGGGAGTTCCCAAATTCTAAAGCCTGGTTGTCCTATTCATGTCAGGTTAGTGCATAATAATCAGAGAATTCACTATATTATATGATGCAGCTTGTTTCTGTATATCATATCGCCCATCCTGTCTGCTGTTGGAGGTTATGTCTAACCCAGAACCTTCACCTTTGTGCTGTGTGGCTTTGGGTTCTTGGAACATTATGAGCTCCACAATACTAAAGGTATGTATATCATCTGTGTATTTAGCTGTTTGCCTGGAGTTAAAGTGACATTAAAGGATAATTTTTTTCCCTCCCCCCAATTAAAGTTATTTAAATTAATTAAAGTACTTACCTTAAATGATATCTCCTAATCCGATCTTACTCTTCTTTCCTGTCCTTTTCAGCCTTCGCTCCAGCGCTGACTCCTCTGTCCTTGCTTGCACTTGTCCCATGGTGTCTGCATGCGGGTGCACGCCGTCCATATACCTACCTTGTGTCTCTCCTCGTCTCCCTGCCGAAAATCCAAACTGTGCATGCGCCCGCCCCAAGATGCTTTGCGGCCGCCTGAGCAGTTTTGGATTCTCGGACGGGAGCGCGCGGCGAAGACAGGGGTAAGTTTAAACCGCTTTTAAAGCGTTTTTTGTTTTGCTTGCTAACAGTAGATGTATGCAAAAAAAACTGTAGGGTTTGGAAACCCTTTAAGCTTTAAATATATGAAGAATCAAGCAAAGTACCTATAAAACCCTACTTTAAATCCAGTGACTGCATTGGAGGGTAAATAGCCAGATTTTCCAGTACATACGTCTTTCTTCCAGAGTTCAGGATATCTGACAGGTTTAGTAAAATACATTACACACTTAGGGGTCTATTTATAAACAATTTGCAGAGCCATTCACATGCAATACTACATTTTGATTGTAATACTGCATTATGACCACTAGATGGAGCAGAGGAGCACAGGAGATAGTTATTTCCTATGCTCTTCAGCTCCTTCTAGTGGTCATAATGCGGTTTTAAATTATTAAATTCCAAATTACATTCAACTTGTGCAGAAAATATATACTAAGAAGAGATTATTAAAACGAATTTTCTGTATGTGTATGTACCTAAAATAAGTGACATGAACATGTGGTTTTTTTTTGTGTGTGTGTAATTTAGGACATATCGTCTACCAGTTATGGAGATAAGTTTGAAGAAGCAGTAAAAGTTTCAGCAGCAACACCCCAGCTGGTGGCCGTTGGAGTGAATTGCTGTTCCCCTGATTTTATTAGTCCTCTTTTATCTTCAGCCAACAAAAACTGCAACAATCTACAGATGGACTGGATTGTTTACCCTAACAGTGGAGAGAAATGGGATCATAACCTGGGGTAAATGACTTTAGAAGCTGTCTTGTTTTCTATAGGAGGAAAAACAAATGAACTAGAAAAAAGTGTGTGTGCGTGCTCGCTCTCTAACACTATCACTTTTATATGAAAACAAAGATATAAAAATATAATGGGGGGAATTTATTATAGCAATTGCGAGTGTTTGAACTTGCACGGAATATATTTGCACCAGATTTATCAAGCTAGTGTTACGTTGTTAAGTGAGGTTTAATAGACTCCAAGAAAGAAGACTTCTAACTTCAGGCAAAAAGCTTAACTGTCGCATCTTGAAGAAGTGGCCATGGGGACTTCTTAAGTTGTGATTGTTTTCTTAGGTGATGCTCCAGTTTCAGACAGCCCAGAACAAGTGCAGATGAAAACAGGTGCAAAACACGTGTAGTTGGAAAAGTAGCGCAAGCTCAGGTCAAAACAGGGGCACATGTTGAAAGACAGATTTGCACATAAAAAAAATGATCTAAGAGGCTAAAACAGTCGCAAGTGCTTTGATAAATTCCCCCCACTGTATGCATGCACGATCTTTCCCTGATTTAGCTGATAACCGTTTTTTTTTTTTGCAGAAACAATTTTGCCAATGGTTTACTTTTGCTTTTTTATGTTATTGGCTTTAACCCCAACTCCAGCCAAAACCTGGTTTTAGATAGAGTGGGGAAGGGATGGAACGTATGTAAGCTTTTAAATGCTCTCTCTCTCCCCTCATTGTCCCAGTGATCCGGGGGGGGGGGGG